CATGCTAAAAAAACATTTAATCAAAGCAGGCTAATTTACTTTTAAAAGCCCAATGCACATTGAAGAACCAATGTAATTAAATAGCACATATTCATTACGTCAATACAATGTACATTACAAGACCAACAATACCAAGTCTAGTCAAGTTAACATGTATATCAACATAATTGAACACATAGTCAAGACAACTTTATCATCAACTTATAATATCAGTAAATATGTATAAGAGTTCATAAAATCATAACCAAATCAAGACCATCACTCATACACCCCCATTAAATCCACTAGTGCAATGACTAAGTAAGTCCCCATAACCTCACTCAATCAATTAAACCCAATAAGAACTATAAGAAATTTCTAACTTCACATATCATATCATTAAGAGTACCCATGATCATACTTTAGCAATATAGACGAACCACATGTTTATAAGTGAAACCAACATCACATAGTGTCTTCAATATGTAAGATCAACATATGCATATCATTTACATTTATAAGCATATAAAAAGGGGCTTCTAAGACTTCCCTCAATGCTAACTAGTGCAATGTATAGATAGAGTCCCATACCCTACCTAATCCAAGCCAAGTCACTTAGGTCATCCTAGTTAGAGTTCACTTCATGAACATCTTGCCTTAACCAACATAGACCACATAAGCTAACGTGTAATCCAGTGTCATAGAACCCTACACCGAAAGAAGGCTGACTACTTGCCAAGGTAGTACCTAAACATGAACATAAAATCTATGTGGATCAACTATCTAGTATTCCTATTGGGGAAACATAGTTCAAGAACTAGGAGATGTAGTTGGGACCGTCTATATGATACATGCATTATAGTCTCCAATCTCATGAGTATATTAGTGATCCTATCTTTCCTATGTGGGAAGGGACACTCCTCACTTCTATTTCACTCGGTGCTAAGCTACAGTCCCTTTTAAAATGTTTCTCATTAATAATCATAGCTTAGTTTAGTTCATAGGTCCTACTCCTTATATATTCATCATCATAGCTCAATAGAAATTGCATGAATATTGTCCTTTCATTACAATTCGCACGTGTGAGGTTAACATATTTACATAATCACATTGTGAAAACACATATAAACAAATTCATCACAACCCTTATGTTAGTGAGGAAGCCATCTTGAGTTTCGTTGAAACGATGTCTTCCTTACAAATGTTGCGGAGATCGTCACACAATCCTGCATAGTTACATATTAGATTTTTACTTTTATTTCTTTTTTTAATCTTTTACATATAGACCTACCTGTTAATAAAGGCTCAAATGACATTCCATCATTTTACATTTCTTGTTTTGTTTCGATCTGTTCATCAAAAAAGACAAAAGAACTTTCTTTCTCCGACGTTTCAATGTACTACTACCAACTAGTTGCGGATCACTAGCACTGTAAAAATGTTGAACATTGTAAGAAAGATTAATTGGTTGAAGAGAAATCTATATTAATTGAATTGACAATAACACACTCTTCTGGCAGTAATATTTCATCATTAACGAGTAGCTTTCTTCTTTTTCTCGTGTGTGTGGGAGGTGGATGGGTGTGTGCGTGCGTGTCTGAGTGTGTGTTCGCGCGCATACGTGCGTGCCAATGAAGTTTAATAAGCATTTAACATGACCTGATTCAAATCTTTAGTCTTGTTCTAGAAAAAGGAGCAGAATTCACATTTACAAATAATACCGATGAGTCTCATTTTGCAGTTACGTAGACACTTAGATTAAGACATGTATGTGTTCCCTCTTATATAATGCATTTAGAAATTTTAGTATAAAATAACAATTTTATATCTTTAAAAAAGTCACAACTTTTAAACAGTGTCACAATTTAAAATGAAAAAAAAAATTATCAAATCAATTTATTTGTCAGGAAAGAATATGAATAGTGACGTAAATAATTTACTACACCAAATGAAGTCGCGGAACTTTAATCGATAATCGAAACTACGTAGCATTTTGTGTCAAGTTACTACATATATATTCTCATTTATGTTTCTGATATTTAATTTTATACACATCTTTAGAGTAACAAAATTCATCAATAAATCCGCATAAAGGGTTAAAACATATCATATAACATGAAATCATCATATACTGAAAATGAGATTTTTTTTTAAAATTTGATGTAAAAGAAGAAACATTTATCAGATTAAATGAAATAACAATCAAACAAAAAGACTTAGAACAACATCTATTTCCACAGAAAGAAGAAAAAGGAAGATTTAACATGTAAGAAAATAAAACAAAAATAGAAAAATTTAGAGAACAAACCAACAAATGAGAGAATGTTGGTACAAGCGTATTGAGATTTTTTTTAAGTTGCTTTTGATGGTCGCTACTTGCCATACGGTTGCTAACTGACCCTTCCAATCCAAAAGTGACACTAGATACAACATTCTCAAACAATCACTCAAAAATGAATGGTGAATGTGCAAATGGCTAATGATGAACTTTTTAATTGATAATTAGTTCATTGGGTTCTAAGATTTCCACAACTCATGTTAACCTTCTTAAATAATAATAGTAAGAGAATCTAAATATAATGAAGCTTTTGATGGCCTATAAAGGAAAATTATTTGATTAATTACTCATGTTGACTATCTTAGTTATTTATTTTTATTTATTTTTTTTAATACTAACAAACAAAAGAATATCCAAAAGTATTTATAATAGTTGACCACCTTTGAGCTTTTAATACAGTCAATTGTTTTCAATATCAGCTCCAACCTGCTGGTGCAACATTCTTGCATATCTTAAATGAAATAAAATCTAAATATAAAATTATTTAAAATCAAATCTTCATAAAAATAAATAAATAATTTCTTATGGACTTATAAATTGACACGATAATTTTTAATAATGTATCAACTACGAATAACAAATTAATATGATCTTTTTCTTTTAAAAAAAAGTGATATATAATTTACATTTAAAATTTATAAATTCTATGACGAATTTTTAACATATATTTCTCCATCCGATATTAGTTAATAACTTTTAGTTTTGCACAGTGCTTAAGAAAACATAAATAAAACATAATTTTACTAATTCACTCGGAAACTACTTGAGAATTTTACAAATAAATGTGATTAAAGTCAAGTTACAACTCATATACAATAAAAGAAATATTATAAGCAATAAAGAGATGGAGATTTTGTAAAATCATTACTTCAAAAGTATTTTACAAATATATAATAGAATAATGTATTTTACATACTTTGCAATCATTATATTTTTGAGTTAAATTAAGAGGTAAATTAGGAAATTAGAAAATTTAAACACATGACATGCATATATTGACTTGAAATAAATACTCAATACAGATAAATTTTACCCGATGACTTATCTTTTATGGAAATTAAATCCAAGTTGGAACTCATTACAAAACAAATATCCTAGACAATAAAGAGATCTGGATTTTAAATTATATAATGATTCGTTCAAAATATTCTACACATATTTTGAAATTGAAAATATTTTTTTTTTAAATTTATGTTTTTCCAAAAAAAAATGTAATTTTAAAATTGGAGGAGAGCTTTGGAAAATGTTTTCCTTAATTTTCGAAGGGAAGTCATTTTGCTTAATTTTTGAGTAAAACAAGTTGATTTCAAAAACATTTTCCAAAACTTTTGTGCCAACCAAACATGAGAAAATTGAAAAAACATTTTCGAGAAAACATTTTCCACCTATTATGCATACAGTTATAAATTTATAAACAATAAAAATTAAATACCAACTGGTGCAAACGATAATGCGTGATTATATGTTTAAACGTATGTAACTTCACCATAAGGCACATGTTTAGTCCATTTTAGTCACACTAAAACCCCAATAATTAACACATACATACAAGCTAGATCTATAAGATTTAGCACATGCTTTATGATAGGTTTGAAACTTTGACTATCGCAAAATTTAATATGAATCTTTTTTTAACTTCAGAACAATTCAGAAGTTCTCTTTCATCTTTGGATAATCGATAGAAAAAAAGTGAGAAACGATCAAATAAATTCATTATTTATTTAATCAAACTTGAAAAAAATGAAACGTTAGAACACAACAAACTATACTAGTTTGTAGCTAGGATCAGGCCTCGAAAATTTGGAGGCTCCATATTTTAAAATTTTTAATATGTTTTTATTCGTTTGGATTAAATCAAAATTTATATTAAAAAAAATAAAATAATTTTTTTATTCAAAAGATAAATTTTTATAATAGAAGTACTTTAAAATTTTAGATTAAGCTACTCACGTGTTCATATTACTCCCTCCGTTTTAAAAAGGATGAACTACTTTGACTTGAAACGGAGTTTAAGAAAAAAAAGAAGACTTTTTCATCTTGTGGTTATAGATTAAAGTTATGTCAAATGTACCAAAATGCTCTTTAATCTTGTGGTATTAAACATACTACGTGGAAAATTAAAGTTAAAGTATTGCCAAAAAAGTAATGAGTCATTCTTTTTTAAACAAACTAAAAAATAAAATAGAGACATATTTTTGAAACGGAGGGGTAGTAGATAAAACTTTATGTAATATCAACGTATGGCGAATAAGTGACTAAAGTATAATCAACTTATATAATCTGAGCCTTACCTATATAAATGTTAACAATACCATTACTGTTAAATCAGAATTATAACAATACCACGTTACTATGTGAAAACAAAATCTGAACAATAATTTAACGGATTGAGCTCACTCTACATACATATACGACCAAACATTATTAAGTTTAAAGGAAAATATTACAAATATACAAATTGACATGTGAATGAATAAACGAAGAAAGATTGAGATGAAATTTTCTGTGTATCTTATTTCTGCATAGCAAGATTATATATAGGAAATACAAGGAATCAAAACCTAACAAACTAACAGCTGTCCTGCTTTAATTCGCTAACTTGTAACAAACTATTATTTACAATTAACAAACTATTATTTACAATTAATTAAATATAAAAGAGATAATATTTACAGAAAGAAAATGTGGAAGGTTCTGAATTGATGCCAGCTGTTGAGGCCACCTGTCTTTCTTCAATCTTCATTTTTTCATTTTTCTCTTTTCAATATTTATGTCGGAAACATTCTTCTTCTTCATAATACAACTTGTGCTATCTTTCATCTCTAATGGATTGCCATCAGCTGTAATTCCAACACCCCCCTCGGAGGAACGAACACCCAATTTGCATAACAGAAGATGGTGAGAGGTACCTGTGAGTGGCTTAGTAAAAAGATTTCGAGCTGGGAAGACGAAGGGAGAAGTGATAAAGAAATCAAACTAGCAAGATATTGTTGTCGAACAAAGTGGCAATCTAAGTCAACATGCTTCGTCCGTTCATGAAAAACAGGATTTTTAGCGATATGAATTGTTGCCTGGCTATCGGAATGAAGAGAAATGGGTAGACAAGGAGGCAGTGTAAGATCCGAAATAAGATGGACGAGACATGTTAACTCAGCAACAACACGACGCATAGACCTATACTCTGCTTCGGCAGAGGAAAGTGAAAGAAAAGGTTGCTTTTTCGATTTCCAAGAAATTGAACTACCACCGAGGCTAATGTAGAAACCACTGACCGACTTGCGAGAGTCAGGACAACTGGACCATTCAGAGTCACAAAAAGCCAATAAGGTGAAATATAGGGAAGAATTAAGGAAAATCCCTAAGCCAGGGTCAGAAAGAAGATACCGAAGGACATGATAAGCAGCCAAGAGATGGGCGTGATGAGGGCGTTGCATATATTGGCTAAGATGCTGAACGGAAAAGGAGATGTCAGGCCGTGTGTGAGTGAGAAAGTTGAGTTATCCAATAAGGCGGCGATAACTAGTGACATCAGAAAGGGGACAACCCATATCAGATTGTAATTTCAGGGAGGGATCCAAAGGGGAAAGAGCGGGTTTAAGTCCAAGGCACTGATATTCGGAAAAGAGCTCCAAGATGAACTTGCGTTGATTAAGAATCAAACCATGTGGTTCCCTGATAACTTCAATACCCAAAAAATAATGTAAGTCTCCCAAATCTTTGATTTTAAATTCTTAGTCCAAGAATGATTTTAGAGCATCTAGTTCTGCCTTGTTGTCGCATGTAACTAGAATGTCATCAACGTAGACGGCTAGGATGGGAATGGATGAATCATGACACTTGTAAAATAGTGAATAATCATTGAGTGAGTGAGTAAAGCCTTTAAACTACAAGGCTAAAGTCAGACGAGCATACCACTGTCGTGAGGCCTGTTTTAGTCCGTAAAGAGACTTCTTTAGACGACAAACTTGAGTATGATCATCTACTTTCAAACCAGCTGTAAAATTTCATGCAGACTTCCTCATCTAACTCACCATGAAGAAATGTGTTATTAACGTCTAATTGATATAACCCCACCCCTTCTTAATGGCAATAGCAAGCAAACAACGTATTGTAGTAATCTTGACGACAGGGCTGAATGTTTTTGTAAAATCAATGACATCTTTTTAAAAATCACCTCGTACAACCAACCTAGCCATTAATCTCTCGACAGTACCAAGAGAATTGAGCTTAACTTTGTATACCCATTTAGTAGGCAAAGCTTTCTTTCCCGGAGGTAATGAGACCACGTCCCAAGTGTTGTTACTGATCAAAGCCTCTAGCCCTTAATCATAGAATCCTTCCAACCCGGATATAAAATAGCTTGGGTAAAAGAAGTAGGTTATTGAATATGGGATAAATAAGTGATATAATTCTGGTTAGAGTGAGATAATGCAGAGAAAGCGAAAAGAGAAACAGGTGAAGGGGAAGATAAACAAATATCAAACACAGGAGAAAGATGGACACTGTTGCAAACATAATCTTGTAGGTAGGCTGCAGTCTTAACAGATCTAGTGGATTTTCGTAAAACAATAGGATCTGGAGAATAAATAGAAGAAGTAGAAACAAGGGAATGGGATACAGAAATAACAGGAACAGGAGCAGCAGATGTATGAGATGAAAAATCAGGCTCATAAAAAACTTGAGGAATGTCAAAAGGAAACAGAGAAACAAGGGGCTGAATAGCAGCAAACGGGTAAATGTCTTCATGGAGTTTTACATCCCTCGAAATAAAACACTTCTGAGAAATGAGACTTAACAATTTGTAACCTTTTTTGCCAAAAGGATATCCAAGAAAAACACAAGGCTCGGCCCTTGGTGCTAATTTAGATCTTCCTTGGGAAAGAGTAGAGGCAAAAGGAAGACACCCAAAACACTTTAAATGAGAGTAACAAGGAGGATAATGAAACAATCTTTCATAAGGTGTTTTGAAAAAGAACAACTTAGTGGGGCACCTATTAATAAAGTAAGTGGTTGTCATAAGAGCATCCCCCAAAATTTATGTGGGAGATGGGACTGAAAAAGAAGGGATCGACATATTCCTAATAAATGTTTGTGTTTTCTGTCAGCCACACCATTTTGTTGTGGTGTGGCGACACAAGAGGTTTGATGAATGATCCCTTTGGAGGATAGGAATTTAGAATTATCAAAACTGGCACCTAATTCCCAAGCATTATCCGATCTAATGATTTTGATTTTTTTTTTGAAATTGTCTTTCTATCATAGCAAGGAAGGACTTAAGAATGGTGAATGCATTGATTTTAGTGGTTAGCAAAAAAGTCCAAGTTCCTCTACTAATGTCATCTACGATGGTCAAAACATATGGATATCCATCATAAGTAGGTGTTTGAAAAGGCCCCCATGAATAAATATTAATTAAGTCAAAAATTTGTTTAGAAGAAATATGACTTGTGGGAAAAGGGAGTTTGTGTTGTCTTGCTAAGGGGAAAATAGAACATGGCACAAAAAACTTAAAAACAACAGAAACTGGAATTTCATTTATATGCTGAATATTTAAAAGAGGGATATGACCCAATCTTACATGCCATAATCTACTTTTAACATCATTAGAAGAAATACAAGATAAAGTGGATGTAACATCCTTGAAGGAATGAGAACTACAACTGGAATTTATAAGAGAAAGAGCAGCTGGAAGCCTATTCTTGAGGACATAGAGACCATTCCGATTTTCACCAAGGAGCATTGGGCTCTTCATGTAAGGGCCCTGCATGAAACAATGAGAAGAGGTAAAAATTAACATCTTAGAAAGTTGTTTGCACAACAAATGGACAAACAACAGGTTGAAGTGAAAACTGGCACAAATAAAACATTGTGAATGATAAGATTAGAGAAAAGTTTCACAGAACTTGAATGTGAGACCTCAACCCTTTGGGAATTAGGCAAATTAACACAAATTGATTTAGGCAAAGGTTCAAAATTGAAGAAGAAATCCTTGTTATAGCTTATGTGTTCACTTGCACCTGAGTCTATTATCCAAGTTTGCCTAGTGTAGTTGGTAGGATCAACCTGTAAATTTAAAGAAAAAGGACTAGGAAATAGAGTTATACCAGCACAATTAGCAGATGTTGTGACTTCAGAGACATTGTTGCTTTGATCATTGTTTTTCATATTTTGGAGCATTTGCATCACCTGTGCTAATTGGTCAATTGAGAGTAATTTTCCTTGTTCTGTTAAGTCGACATCAGCCATAAGAGAATTTCCAGAAAACTCATTTGAGGTGACAGCATGTCCCTGAACAGAATTCTTAAAATTTTTCTGCCTAGTAAATTTAAAATTAGGTGGAAAGCCATGTAGGTTATAGCATTTCTCAATAAGATGCCCTGCTTTATTACAATACTTGCATAAAAGAGTTGATCTCTTAGCATCATAAGGAACTCTCTGACCCCTGAAATCAGTAGAAAAAGATCTTTGACTAGCATTTGTTTAACTTATCGCAATAAAAGAAGAGGATTCTCCAGGAAATTTTGGGATATTTTGCAACTCCCTTTGCTTCTCCTCCTGAATCAATAGTGCATAAGCATTTGAAATAGAGGGTAAGGGTGAGATCACGAGTATGTTACCTCTGGCAGCACAATAAGACTCATGGAGTCCCATTAAAAAGTGAACTAGACGTTGATCTTGTTTAGCCTTAATGTTTTTCTCTTTTGCTCCACAGGAACACACACAAGATCAAATAGTAAAAGAGTCTAAAGTATCCAATTCATCCTAGAGTCGCTTAATCCTGGTATAGTAAGCAGTAATATCAGATGACCCTTGGACAAGGTCACTCAGTTCCTTTTGAAGCTGGAAAAGACGAGGGTCAGAGCTCTGACCAAACCTGTCTTCTAATTCTACCCAAATATCTTTAGCAGTGGAGTAATACAAGACACTTTCATAAATTTCTCTAGAAAGAGAGTTCAATAACCAAGAAATTACCATGTTGTTAGATCTGGACCAAGCTCGATGTAGGTTTGTTCCTACTTTAGGTTCCACAGTCGATCCATTAATGAAACCTATTTTGTTCTTAGTAGTTAAGGCTATCCACATCCTTCTCTTCCATCCACCAAAGCTCTGGCCATCAAAAATTGTATCGGCTAGCAAAGTACCAGGAGAATCAGAAGGTGATATGAAGTAAGGATGAGCAGGGTTAATCAATTCAGAAGAGGGTATATTGACAGTAGGAAGGGGAACTGTAGTCCCAGTAGCTATTTCAGAGGTTTCTACCATGATAAAACTGAGGGAAAAATAGAGATTAGAGCTCTTGCTCTGATACCATGAATGAATAAACGAAGAAAGATTGAGATGAAATTTTCTGTGTATCTTATTTCTGCATAGCAAGAGTATATATAGGAAATACAAGGAATCAAAACCTAACAAACTAACAGATGTCCTACTTTAATTGGCTAACTTGTAACAAACTATTATTTACAATAAACAAACAATTATTTACAATTAATTAAACATAAAAGAGATAATATTTACAGAAAGAAAATGTGGAAGGTTCTGAATTGATGCTAGCTGTTGAGGCCACCTGTCTTTCTTCAATCTTCATTTTTTCATTTTTCTCTTTTCATTATCGATGTCAGAAACATTCTTCTTCTTCATAATACAACTTGTGCTATCTTTCATCTCTAATGGATTTCCATCAGCTGTAATTCCAACAACATGACAATTTTTCTTTCTACTTACAAATTTTCCCCATTTATCAGCTATATTACAATTTTCTGTGGCAAGTCAACTTTTTATATCTTCTAATAGCTAAATGGTACAGTATTGTAGATGTCAAATGTTCCTCGTTTCACCATGGTGTCATATATTGCTTATTTCTTCGTGATAAAGTCCAAGCGCAGACGGCATAGACACACAATGATCATCAACAAAAATGGAACAAGATGCAAAATTAGAGAAAACGAAAAGGAAAAAACAACTGAAATATAAATTGTACTGATATTTTTGCTACAATGTAGATAGATATGGCACTAACCATATTGACAAGTCTCAGAGCTGCAAGCCGTGTGAATTGTTACCCAATCAGTGTTTGAAAAATAGAATTACTAATTCTGACAAAACTTTTCAGAAACAAGAAGTACCCAAAGTATACTGAATCTGTACGAGAGATGAACATAAATTAAATAAAAGAAATAAAATATGTAACGTACCACAATCTGAATTTTATTTGAATAGAAAATGAAACAAGTCCACTAAACTCACAATATGCCCTTAAGGAAATTATTCCCCCCTAGTATCCGAGGTTTCATTTGGAAAATGTCCTCTCAGGGTAAAATGATTTCAATCACTAGCGTATAGATATCGAAAACTCTGGTGTCAGCGAACCACTCAACAGTAGTAAAATACACGAAGTAATTTTTATGCAGAAGAAGAAGAAGAGATCAGAAAAAATCATAAGGAAATTATGAAGAGTGAATGATATTTATAGGGAAGAGGAATAGGTTCTGAAATGTTACAACCCTTTCAAGAATCCACACAACCATTAATGAAAGTTTGCAACCTTTCAAATGGTAATGATTATTCCTGAAAGTTACAACATTTCAAATGGTAATGATTGTTCCTGAAAGTTGCAACCTTTTAGAACAGTCATTTCCTAACAGTGGAAAATTTACATAAAAGAGGAAAGTTTTTAGATCAAACAGGTCGCGCGCGGAT